AATCTAGAATGACAAGAGAAAAGAGTGAAGTAATCACAATTCACAAAATTGAGATCCTTACTTTTGAGTACCAAGTGAATCCTTCACGCTCCAATGGTAAGAACTCTCCTTCAAACACTCTCTCTCACTCTCTCCTTCACACTTCTTTCAGTAAGCACGAAATCCAATGACCAAAAAGATTACAAGACAGTTTTAAGTGGACCTTATATAAGAAAGACACGAAAAATCGTCCAAAAACTGCCAACTTAAACTGCCAACTTTCAGTTCTGTACGCACTCGATCGTCCCGTACGATCGAGATTTTGTCCTGTACGAATAGTGTAAAAACTATTGCGTTCGACCCCATTGTATATTTGTATGAAATGACTTCGTACCCAATCATCGTCCCATACGAACTAAGTTCGTCCGGTACGAACAGTTATATCACGGGTTAGTTTGGACGAAACTGCAGGACAGTCCCAAATTTTCAAGGAACGGAGTACTTCGTCTTGGGACGAATATAGGAGTTCGTCTGGACGATCTGTTCAAGTCATGAGTCCCGAGGACATCGTCCTGGCACGAACTGGGTGAATCGTCTGGACGATCTGTTCAAGTCATGGGTCCAGAGGATATTGTCCCGGGACGAATGTTACGCTTCGTTCGGACGATCAGCACAAAGTGAGAAATCCGAGAATATTGTCCTGTGATGAATAATACACTTCGTCTGGACGAATAATTCAAAGTGAGAATCCAGAGCACATCGTATAGGGTCGAATAGGGAAATTCATCTGGACGATCATGACTTAGAAAAATTTTCTCACTTCTTGTTCGTTCCATTGCTCTTTCGAGGGGTATAACTGACCTGATCGTCCCGTACGAATATGGTTCGTCCCGTACGATCAATATAAGAAAATTTTTTATTTTTAAAGATCTCACCAAGTGTGTGTGCTAAGTTACTCAATTACAATCACATTCTCTCAAACTCAATAAATTGAAAAATACAGACTTCAATTTACAAACTATCTTATGTTGAATTTGATTTGAAGTCTTCCTTAGTCTGGAGTTCGATTATCCTAAATGTTAGTCCACATAAAAGCAAAAATAATTCTTCCAAAAAAAAATGTTAGGAGAAAATAATAATTAGAACAATAATATTTAAAATCATCAAAACTATATGAGTTGCAAGAATGTAAAACATGCAAAAGCTAAGTAGCAACTCTCTTAACAAGCCTTTCTTGGATTTGTGTTTCCTCTTCTCCATTTCTTCGTTTTTGTTCAGCCTTTGACAGCTTAGCGTGAGGTAGATTTTTGAAGGAGTGGCTTAAAGTTTCTTTGCCTACTTCGACGACATCCATTCCCATTGAATTAGAAGTCACACAGTTCGATGGTATTCTTCCCATTAGATCGAAAGTAATGATGGGGTTGGCTTGCTATGAAGGTAACTATCTCTCTCTCCTTTCTCGCACTCTTTGATCAAATCCAACTTCGCTGAACTCATGAATTTAGTAAATTTGGGATTTGCGGAACGGACGATTCATCTCGCCACAAGATTTAACCTGTCCTCAAAATCCCATTTGGCAGGACTTAGCATAAATCCTGCTCAAATCCTGTATCAAAACAGCCCCTTAAGATGCCTCAAGATTTGTGTTCATTAAAAATTTCTTTTGATTTGATAGATAGCAATTTTAACAATCCCAACATATGGAGAAAAGATGAAAATAAAGCTGAATCTGGTGCCGCTGAATAGCATTTGGGCTGGCTTGACCTTGTTTTTAATTTTTATTATTTGGGCTGACGTTCCAAAACTTTAATATATGGTAGAAAGAAATAGCTGGAAATGATTTAGATAGGGTTTCCAAGTATGAATTGGTGGAGGCGCTTTTATATTCCCAATATTTTTGAAGATAAATGAGTCTAAGTAGTATTGAATATTTCTGTCTAATAATAACCTTTTAAAACAGTAGCAGATTTATCTTTGGTGATCTTTTTGACTTGAATATTTTTATCTTTCTAAGGATTGAAATGTTTTTCTAAACTTTGTGAAACCATTTGAGAAGCCTTATAGCTTAGGTGTATCTTGATATTGCATTCTTAGATTTTGTTTCTTTTTCCACTTGAAATAAATATATATTTGGATCTTCTAATTATTTTTTGTTTTCAGAAACATAGAAACATGTTTAAGAATGAAAAATGAAAATTGAAATAAGTTATATATAATTAGCATAAGTTATATTTAATTCATAAATAATCTTTCTAAATATTAATTATCCCAATTAAATCTTATTTTGGCCCTAAATAATATTATTTTTATTGTAATTATTTTCTAACCAAGTATAATAAATAATTAGCTATAAATTTAATTTGATTATTTAATTCTTAATTTAATTTTGTGAGAAGAAATATTATTAAAAATTTAATGATCATAATAAAATATTAGTTAATCCATTATTAATTATTACAATTGCTTTAATTATTTGTGAATTAATTGCTAGTTTAAACCTTAATTGACATAAGTAAATACTAAGAAAATATTAATAATTTAATTAAAATCCTAATTCTTCTTAAGTTTGCCTAAATAATTTCTTAGTTACCAATTACTCTAACAAATTATTTATCTTGGGCATAACTATCATGATTAATTAGTGATGAAATATTAACTTCATTGATTAAAGTTTAATTAGTCTCTAATTCTCTTAAATAATTAATTATTAATTATTTTTAATAATTAATTAATTATACTATGCCATATTATTATTATTATTATTATTATTATTATTATTATTATCATATTAAAATGAAATTAAAAAAAAAGAGAGAGATGTGAATAGAAATGTGAGGATTTTCAAAACAGGTGTCGAAGACCCCAGCCGTCGTACCTTAGGTCCGTCCGGGATGGTTTGAAATTGAAATCCTGCGCTGTTGATTTTTAATCCGGGCAGAAGGTTTTAAAATTTGAAGACCCCGGGCCGTCGTATCTTAGATCCGGCCGGGATGGTTCCAGATTGAAGACCTCACGCAGTCGATCTTAGATCCTGGTGAGATGGTTTGAAATCGAAGACCCTACACCGTCAACCTTAGGTTCGGGTAGGAAGAATTACGGCAGTGCCATCCCGATTTCTCCCTCGGTGGGGAGGTGACGTCGGGAGGCTGCCGAAATTTTTAGTAAAAAATTGGGGACTTGCACTCGACATGAATATAAGGAATCGAAATTTAAATTAATAAACATACAATCAAGATTGGAAATACAATTGCTAAGTGATAAATTCAAGTCATTGAAATAAACATCTAGCGATACAAAAATGGGACCCTTATCAACCCAGGTCTATAAGGTATTCTTGGACGAAGCAATCCATGGCTGCCGACAAGGTGCCTTCTGTCAGATTGGGTCGACTATCTCCTCTGACTAAGTAGACCAGGGATCATGATAGCCCGGGACAACGGAACCATGGGATCTTGATCGAGCTTACCTCCATCTTCCCACCATTGAGACTAAATTACCTAAAATATATTCATCCTTAATCGAGAGTTCTCTCTTACGTGCTAAGAGAGGTAATTAACTATGAGTGCTTGCGCTCATAGGAAGTAAGAACCCCAGATTTATAAACCCTGACATTACCGTCAGGGGAAATCTGGTTAACTACAATCTGACTTAAGGGAAATAGAATCCCACAGCTGCAAAGCAGGATTCATGCATTCGTGCCATTTTTCTTGAGCCAACAGATTTCTAAGAGATGCTCTAGAGAGTTCTAAAAAAGAAAGGAATTAATAATGCTTTTATGTAAATCATGAAGGATATGTATGTAGGTGCTTTTACTTGAATTCAAACACAAGGTGAAGGTGGTTTGACTAACTATTTTCTTCTTTTAGTTGGATTAGATCAAGGATCAACTTTAAGCTCATATCTTTTTTACTTTTGTCATGGATGTTCTTTCTAGACATTTTCAAGATGATGTACCTTGTTGTATGCTTTTTGCTGATGATACTTGTTGATAAAACTAGAGAGGGAGTTGAAAGAAAACTTGATTATAGAGGTCAACATTAGAGTCTAATGATTTTCATTTAAGTAGATCTAAAATCGAATACATGGAGTGTAATTATAGTAGTAATAAATCTAGTGGGGGGACTATGACTTCGGACGATCGGGTCATTGAAAAATGTGCACGTTTTAGATATCTTGTGTCTATTGCTCTAAGTGATGGTGAAATAGATAGGGATATTAATTCAAGTTAGATGATTGAAGTGGAGGAATCCATCGGACTTGTTGTGTGACAAAAATGACCCTCAAACTAAGGGAAAATTCAATAAGATGGTGGTGAGACCTGCAATACTTAATGGCGTAGAATGTTGGTCATTAAAAGAGAAGTATAATTTTAAGTTACGTGTTGCTCAGATGAGGATGTTCACATGGATGAGTGACTTCACTCTTAAAGACATAATGCAAAACGATTATATAAGTGAAAATGTTGGAGTAGCTCTAGTGGCAAATAAGATTAGAGAGAGCAGCCTTAGATGATTTGGTCACATAAAACTTCGGCCTTCCACTGACCCGGTTAGGATAATAGATGTGACATATGTTAAAAAAGGTAGAGGTTGACTTAAAATACATGGTAAAAAATATTAGAAATTGCCTTTCTTTATTAGATTTAAATGAGAATTTGACTATTAATAGGACACAATGGTGAAAAAGATTCATGTAGTTGACCCACGTAGTTGGATAAGGGCTTGATGTTGTTGTTAACTTGTTATTATATTAATTGTTTCCAAATAAATATTTTCTTTACTTCCAGCGCATGTTTTTGTAAACAGGAACTAAATTCAGGAAACCAAAAAACAAATCTAAGCTCTCACTGTGAGAATATACCACACCCATATTGTGGAGAAACAATTACTCGTGGTTTCACTACCTCATCATAAAAGCCGATGCATTTCACATGAGGATAAATTCCTTTATGGAAAAGCCCAATTGCTATTGTTTGACAATATGCTGCCGTTAGCTTAGCTATGTTGTATTTACATTTTCAGATCATGATGAAGGATCAATTTGCAAATTATGTAGTTCAGAAGATTCTGGACGTCTGTACAGATACACAAAGAGAGCTTCTGCTTGGCTGCATACGGTCTCACTCACAAGCTTTGAAAAAATATACTTATGGAAAACACATAGTTGCTCGGGTAGAGCAGTTATGCGGTGATGGAGAAGGTGCGTATGAAAATATCTATAAGATTGTGTTTGATTATTTTTAAATGTTTATGCCGAGTTCAAGAGAAAATTATGTATTTCAATAAAATTTGCTTATCTGATCAATTATAGACACTTCTGGCACAGAAAACCCTTCTTCTGAATTCTGAAAAGCTGGAGGGCACATAAAAGTAATTGTACTTGTTGGAAGAATCACAGAGGGCCAACTTTGCTGGTCAGACGCCATCGACTCCAGTAAAGCGTTCGTTATGATGGCACTCCTCTGGCGAGCTACCCACCTCACTTGGTATATATTCGAATTGTATTGTAAAGGCGGTAAATATCTTTTATATTTATATATGTTGTATATCTTTGAACGTTCGTTTATGATATATATAATATATGTGTATACACTACCTGATAAAATCTAGCTCAGTTTCCTTATTGCTAATGATTTCTGACTATTATTTACTGATATGATAAGTTGGCGTGATGAGTTGACATGAATGGATCGAGTTCAATACACAAGGTTCTTAACTGTTCTTTTTCTCCACATCTTTCTTAATGTCTAGACAAATTTTTTTTCTGGTCATTCTTAAAAGAGAAGCATAATACTAAGTTAAGTGTTGCAGAGATGAGGATGCTTAGGTGGATGAGTGGCTTTACCCTTAGAGATAGGATACGGAATGAGCATATATGTGAAAATGTTGGAGTAGCTCCAGTGGAAGATAAGATTATAGAGAGTCGTCTTAGATTGTTTGTTCACATTAAACGGAGGTCTTTTGATGACCTGGTTAGGAAAGTTGAGGTATTAGATTTGACTTATGTTAAGAATGGTAGAGTTAGACCTAAAAGACTTGGTTAGAAAAATATTAGAAATGATCTTTCTTTATTAGATTTAAATGAGATTTTGACTTTAACTTGATACAATGATGAAAAAGGATTCATGTAGCCGACCCCACATAGTGGGACAAAGACTTGTTGATGTTGTTGTTGTTGTATGGGTTGGCAACACTAGCATGTTGTATATAGATGCTCACAACATTCATGTAGTTGCACACATAGTTTGGCTTTCTCTTGCATGGCATTATATGGTAATATGAACTTATGGATCATGTTGTGTATGCTTTAACATAGTTTGGCTCACATATCTTGTAGAATGTTTGAGGAAGTTTGGGTCTTTAGAAGTTTATTAGAGAGTTTTTGGCATTGTTCTTAAAACCATTCCTCTCATTCCTAACTTGCCATATTGTTTTTTATATGTAAAAAGAACAGATTGTTGAGATGCTAAGGTGGATGAAAACAAACACTTGAAGGATTGTATGATAAATCTTCATCTTAAGCTCGTAAACATACCTTTTATCTTAAATATGTGAGCTTTGTTCCTCAATTCATTATATATATATCATGTACAGCTTGATTACAAAAGGTGAAAGCCTAATGAGTTGCCTGCAAAATTCGAACACTTCCAAGTTTCGAATTTTTTGGTGTTTAGGGTTTCTTAGAATTAAAGCATTCATGGAACCACTATCATTTATAGCCTATATGCCCAAATCATCGCCTACTTCTATATGTGCTATGTCTATAGCAACATCACCAACATCATAACATAATGAGCTGATTATATTGAATCAACCTTATTCAAAAAAGTTCAAACACATATTTCAAATGCATGCTTGAACACTACAGGAAAGTTACCTTATTACATCGGACAAATCCGCCGCAAAATAAGTAGAATCTATCGCAAAATACAAGTTGCGGAGGAATATAATCTGGCTCAAAAAGCAGCGGCGTAAAATTATTTGCGGCGGGAAAAATTTGCCACAAATATTTCAGGCAGATTTACGATTGATTTGCGGTGAAATTTCAACAAAAAGATCATCGAAAATTTTCGTTGCAAATCCAATTTTTGACAAAAATAATTTATCGTAAAGTCCGCCGCAAACTGCTATCTTTCTTATAGTGATGGTTCAAATAAAGTTTGAGCACATATTCAAATATGTTTGAACCGTGCTCGATTATGATTTGAATGTATTAGAAACATGGTCTAACTATATTGATCACGGTGCAAATAATATTTAAACTTAGTTAACACATATCCTTACATATTTGAGACTCTCTATTTTTAGTCTTTTAAATTGCTCTACTAATAGGTCCATCAAAATGACATAATTCATACTATATGATAGAAACATTAAAAAAAAATTCTTATCATTGGCTGTTGAAGTCATGTATATGAACCATTTTTTTCGACTTGGCTTCACCGATATGGTTGTCTTACCCCACTAAGCCAAGAAATCTCGAATGAAAGTACAATGATAACAATGAAGAAAGCAACTTTAAGGCATAATTATCCAAGAAGACAAATATTGAATATATAGCCAAATATTGATATTATGTGGCATATAATGTTAGATTTCATAGTGAGTATATATTTTAAATATAAAAATATTAAAGAAATAATATTTCCTAATTGTGAAAAGACTTACCCTTATCCTCAATAGAATTTTTTTTTGGGGGGGGGGGGGAAATAGAATTTAAAATACTATATTTTAAACATAAAAAGGTGATATTAATTATTAATTTGATTTCAAGTATCAATAATTTTAAATTATTTATTAAATATTAATAACAAATTAAAATGTAAACAAAAATTTAATTATAAAATTTTACATATTCGAATATTTAAATTTTGATCATAAGTTATAAGATATATATTTAAGAAATTGTTGTCACTCAAAAGTAGATTGGTGTTATTATCATTTGTATCATCATAATAAAAAGCTAGACTTACATGAAAATAAGAAAATAATTTTTTTATTTTTTAGGTTATTATATAACATCTATTCTCTAAGTATTAGAATAAAATTATAATACTTTTATTGACCGAGAAAGCCAATTATTTTTCTTAATGGAGGCATATAAATTAATTTTAACATTTAGAGGAATATAAATTGAATGTTTTTCTTTAAAAATATTAAATAATATTTATATAATACTATCTATCTATTATATATAAATATATATTAATTTTTTTTTAAAAAGAAGCGTGTGTATAGCTTCCCCTTGAATTCACCTTGCTTTTAATTCTCTTTCGTAAATCTCATGGGAGAAAATATTTATTAGTTGTAACTTGTATCGCAAATTCAAAATGTATCAATAGTTGGATAGTAAAATTAAATAGAAAGTATGATGGAAAAAATTGCTTCAGGATATTTTGATATAATTTTTTTTTATTATAATTACATGTTAGAAGATTTATGATAGTAGAGAAAGAATGTTTAATAACTTAGTTTTATACAAAATCCAACACACATAAATAAAAGTCGTAAGAGGCATCATAATTTTTTAAATGTGAACCCCAAAATGAAAAAAAAAAAAAGTATAAGGTATGACCTCATTGCAATAATCCATTATATAATTAAGGATATAGGAATCCACCCTTCCTCGTATTTGAGGAAGAATAAGAACATATTACACACATTTGAGAATAATTAGTGAACTCCCATTTTGGAGATTATAGATATGGGGTGTTCACAATTAGACAACTAAAATCTAATAACGGGTTAGAAGTCAATAATCATGCAACAATACTCTGATGATAGAAGATGGTGTTGGTAGTTGCTGATGATAGTTATTGATGATGATCAAAGGGCAACGCAATAGGGTTTCTAAGCTCTTTCAGCTCTCAAATCCCCTCACATAGAAAATAATATCTAATTTTGATAATTTTGGTTAGAATCCAAAACACTCCATTAAACATATCATATTAATTCTTATGATCATAGATCATTCATTCAGCATTTGAGTGCCTTCATTACTTCATAATTGAATGAACTTGATCTCATTAGATTTATCTCAATAACTTGCTTGATTTTATTATAAAAATATAAGATTTGGAGATAATTTGATCTTTCAATTAATATTATGAAGCTATTCTTTCAAGAGCTTGATTAGAGTTCATTTGGACTTAGATCAGGCCATTTGCAGTGTTAAAGGGCTCATCTCATTGAGAGATTTAGTTCTACTATAAATTTGTTAAAATAAAGTTTGAATGGTCTTAAATTTAGTTTTTGACATTTTCAATTTAAATATTACCTCAAGATTCATGATAATCAAGTGAATTTTCTAAAGACGAATCATTTGATCCCTTATTTTTTAGATGTTGAAGCTTGTGTTATGTACAAATCTATAAGCTTCGAAAATTTCTTGATGCAAAATTATGACTTTGGAAAGTTATGAGGCATGATCTTTCCCTAAATGTCAACATAGATCTACACTTGATGTTGTAAATCAAATTCTATTTTAAATAATTTTAATGATTTTTTAAGTTGGTGCATTGATTGGAAAATTAATTAAAAATTTTTCTCTAAACTCCTCATATCTACTTAAATTTTATCATGGAGGCTCCAGTGAGATTAAAAAATGTCAAAATTAAGTTTGGAACGTCGGAAAAAAAAAATTCTAGGGACCCTAAAAATACCACAAGAGGTCTATCCAAGCTATAAATCGGGACTAAAATAGGCCAAACTAGGTGGGCCTACAGCGTGGCGCTCGACAGCTCCAGGCTTGTGCCTTTGGTGCATCAACTGAATTTTTTTTATTGGTGCATCAACTGTACGGCTTTAAGGTGCTTCATATTAGGGCATTATATGGACCCCATAATTTTTTTAAAGCAAGATTTTGTTTTGTTGACTGATTTTCTATTTATTTTTTAAGCGAGGTTTTTTTCCTTCAAATTTTAATGGATTTTGTCTCTTTTTTAAAGATTTTTTTTTTGGAAAAATAATAAATTTTATAATTTTCAAGTATAAATATCTCCTCAAAGGGAAAAGTTCATTCATCCTCTCATTGAAGGCTCTCATCTTTCTCTTAAGAGAGATTTATTCAAGAGGGTGTCAAGAAGATGATGTTGATTTAAGTTCTTCATAACTAGTGGTAAATTACAAATTGGTCATGTAACACTAGAAGTACGGGTTAAATTAGTAGTGGCCAAGAAAACTTATTGAGGATATGGTTAAGGGGGAGCAACAACATAAGGATGTACTATTTGAGTGGCATCAAATGGATGAAACTCAAGCTATTGTTGATTTTATGTCAATATAACATCATCATGGTGTGATTGTGCTTGTTGTTACCTACCTCCTATAAGAGTTGAGGAATTTGAACTTGATGTTCTTTCATCATATGTATATGATCTTCCAAAGTGAGGCTTGGGTTGTTTAATCACCTATATTAGGTTATCCTTGATTGGAGATTTAAATGCTAGTCATTGAAAAATATTTTTCATAAATGACGCCAAACTGTTGTGCTAAAAATTTAGTGATGATAGAAAGAGCGTGTATAATATCATAGCTTTCTACAAAGTTTCAACATGCATATATATAAGTTGTAAGAAACATAAGAATTTTTATATGAAAAACCCAGAAAGAAAAAATTCATAGGGCTTAGCTCACTTGTAATGGTTCACTATATAATTAGACATATAAGATGATAATGCACATGCT